CCCCCCCTCCCGAGATATTGGTGTGTTATAGAGGTATCGAATGATGTTTCTCAATTGCCAATGTTATGGACCTGGTTCGTGGAATTAAGTGAATCGTTGTTTGGAGCTGGTGGTGAGGCCAGAGACTTGTCTGGACGGGAGTTGTGTGTGTCTCGACAGCACGAAATTCGTTTTTGGTGTTTGCAATGTTGCGAGAAACAGATTTTGCGAATTGGTAATCAGCCGGCGGACTTGGCAACGAAGCGTCAGATTGCTGATGGTCTGTTGCATACGTATTTTGAGAAGTTGTTGCCGTGTGCTAGGGAGACTAGTGGCCGAGTCGAAGAGGATCACGTGATCTCTCGAGCTGTATCAGTTTACGTCGCATTAGTGGGTGCTGACTATCCCCAGAGCCAGCCTGGTTTGTTTCAAGACTTTATTCAGCTGATTACCGACTCTCATAAGGCTTACTCTCAACTCTCGGACGACGCGGGGGTTAAATCGCCTGCAGGATTGCGTCTGTTGACGTTGTGTGAATTGTTCTTGAAAGTACTAAGTCAGTTGGACGCAAATTTTATTCGCAATGAGTTAAACAGCCGGTCGAAGGAAGAGTTGGACCGAGCCGGTGTTATAAAGGATTGTATGCGGGAGAAATCAGCACATGGTAATTCAGTTGTAGAGATGGTTATGATGTTATTATCATCCATAGTTTGTGGTGATTTATTTTCTTTGGAGCCTCGTTTGGCGGAAGTTGTTGGAGGTTCTGGTAGCATTGATGATCTGGGCTGGTGGATAAAGTTGAGTTGTTCTGCACTTCAAGTTTTCGGTCAGCTTTGCGTATGGGTCGATATAGCTTTATTACAAGAGCAAAGACTTCGGATGTTTCTGGAGTTAGCACTGGATAATAAATTTGGTTTGGTATGTTGCCAATCAAGCATTGAGGCCATTCATGCTCTTGGATACAAACGTATGCACTACTGGGCCCAGTTTGCGTTGTATCAGCGTTATGGAATGATTCCTTTATTGTTGAAATCATCCAAATTATTTACACTTAGTAAAGATTTCGGTATTGCTTATGCACAGGCATTAAATACTGTTGGACTTGAATTGACAGAGAACATAGGCTTTATTTCAAAGGATATATTAAATGGTGGAATTTCTGGAACAGTGGTAATTGATGGATTACATCACGATCAAGTGAATCAGATGCTACAAGTTGGTATGACTGCCGAACCTAGTTTGGAAGAACAGATGAAGATGGAGGCCATGACCTTAAACGACATAACTACTCTGATGAAAATATCACTCGAAATGTTCGGGGGACAGAACTTACAGATTGCAGAACGAATCGCACCGTTCATCAAGGACGCAGTACGGATATACCGACAAAGAAAGAATAATGTACTCGGCCGTGAAGTCGCCGCCGGAGTCCTACAAGCTTGTTATGCACGAGTCATAATTCCTTTCAACCTTACTAACGACCATATAACTCACAACCTTGAACAGCTGGACTCCGAGGAACTGGTCGAGGATGACGGGTCAGAAATCTCCGAATTTATTGTGTGCCGAAAGACCGCCATGCAGGTCTTCTACAAAGGATTTATGCTGGCCGTGGACCTTTCAGTCGCCCTCGAATTTGTGGAGCATCTAACGGCCAAAAACGATTGTACTCTGCAAGAGTACGAGGCCATGCTTCGTCTGCTCGCTTGTGCTTGGGATTGCGACGCAGAATTTCAACATGAACGTATCGAAGTCAAGACTTCCCTCTCGCTCTTGTTCCAAAAAATTGCTTCAAAAATCCTAGGTCAAAGACCACCAGCTGTGCCGGGAAAGTCAATCATCCCAGTGCCGTTGATTGTATCTGTGTTAGAGTGCGTCTCACGTGTCGTCCGCCGTGAGGAGCCGCAAGTGGGAGACATTTTCCGCGAATTCTTAGAGTCCATTGTGCTGCCGAGTCTCGATTGCGGTAGTCGACGCCTGTTCGCCTCCTTCGTCAGAGAATTACTTCGTGCTGCGAAGCGACAGGAATTGATTAAATGGCTTGGTGTAAACTGGATCACAAAGCTCCTGAATTCAGGCTTGCTGCGTACGGCCCCTTTGGACGTTGGAATTCCTGTGGATCGAGTGGTTCGTTTCGAGGAAGATCTAGGTTCCAGTTCGAATCTATACGACCCGAATAATTTGGTCAAGGTCGACGAACAGATCAAACTATACGAGATCGTTAGCTGCTGGATACCGGTCGTGTCGATTGATGTATGTAGGGCTTTAGTCCAGTCAATTGGGAGTCAGAATCTGGTTCCCATTCAGCCTGGTACGATGAGTGTATATGATCAAAATCGAGTGTTGGAATATGCTCAGCGTCAACTGCGGTGCTTTGCAGGATTGTTGAAGAAGGTTAACTATAATGGTGAGCTGACCCAGCATGTCCTGCAGCTGACTTGTGGAATGTATAAGACATACCTCGGCTATCCGCTGGTAAGTTTGGCGTCAATCCCAGTCTTTAGACGTGTGTGTAAGACTCAAGAACAAATGTGGATGGCCTGTAGCCTTGTCTGCGAGTCATTGCCCACCGTTGTTGTTGACGGACGCCGGAAAGCTTCCGGTGCGGCCCTGAGACAGCTGTGCCAGTTCTTCCAGTCCCTCATTATGGGCACGACCAAGTCACCTGCGACCTATATATTTATGGCACCTGCTGGCAATCCCCAGTCAGACATTTGCCTCATCCTCCATGTCATGCAAGCAGCAACGTCAGTCTGGAGAGAGATGTACAGGAGCTCCGGTGTCTCGGGAATGACTGACAAAGATGACTCCCATCTCGCCGAGAGTGCAGAAACATTCGGAGCCATACTCGACATCTACATCCGCCTTAGCGATCAAATGCCTTTGGTCACCCTGCTCTGCTGGATAGGCTCCGACGAATATTCCCTGACATACCTCCTAGGCAGTGCAGCGGAGGTCGTCGGCATGCCCACCAAGGAGCTGGCAAACTTGTGCCAATTCGAAACCAACTTTGTCAAACAAACCCTGACCCACTCTCTAGACCCCTGCGTGGAGTTCGCTAGCTGCGTCCTCAAATCAGCTAACCCTCCACTAAGGCTACCTGCGCCACTACGGGCCAAACTGGAAGCCGCGGCCAACGAAGGGAAGCTCTCAAAAGAGGCATTGTACTCGACTCTTGGCAAAATGGACCCACCGCTGTTCATAGAAAACATGATCCGCTACGTAATCATGACTCCCGAAACCGCGGTCGACAGACTTCATCGGAACCGAATTCTGGAGCATATTACCGAGCTGCTTCGCGCGATTCTGCAAAACCAAACCGCAAACGCGTGCTGGAGACCACAACTATCCAAGTTATTCGATGGAGAATTACTCAACGTAGGCACGCACGCCGCGGCAGACACATACGCACAGATGCATTTATATGCGGCGCAAACACGCGCACACGCGTGTGCGCAGGCAAAATCCCATAATAATTTCCCCGTTAGATTATTGCTGAGACCAGCGACAAAAACATTGCGGCTCAGACGTTGACGGCATGGTTGATCAAATCATGCAAATAGTGGCTTCGTGTTGCGCAGCATTCGAACCACTGGGCTTGATTCCAAGTCACTAGGTTGGATTCCAAAGTAGTTTATCTGATTGATCCAATAAACCTCCCTTGATCCAATAAATCTTCCATAAATCTCCCTTGATCCAATAAATAAGTTCTCAAAGTTGGTTCTCCCTGCATGATGGTGTCCGTGCATGATGGTGTCCATGCATGATGGTGTCCATGCATGATGGTGTCCATGCTCTACTGACCAAAGTCGCCCAGGTAGGCTTCGGCGGCATATATGTTGCGAAGATCTTTGTAGTTTAGTTTCTCCCACCCGCTGCCCCCGTAGGCGATAACCCATTGAAGAGAGCGTAGAGCTGAGATGGTGTGCCACGCAAGAGCCACAACGAGAAACTCTAATGCCAGCACGACCCAGGCGTGATACAATTCAGTACCATGCAGGTCCCATTCAGCGCCTCCAACGTGGCACATTGTGAAGAACCAGACCATTAAAGTAACGATGATGGTCACTGCGCAGTTGATGAATAGAATCATGAAACCAATACCTATTGTTCGCAGTCCAAATGTCCACTTAAGCAGTATGCCCAAAATTCCGCAAATACAAATCAATAACAACAACGCAACGAATGTCAACATTGTGGCATCTTCCGGTCCCAGGTAACCTAAAACGCTTGGCCAAAGCCGAAGGAGTTATGGGGGAGCGGGGGGGG